TGATCCCTAGTTTATCAGCTGATTTGTAAAAAGGGTGTTCTATATTGCTTATGTTCTACATTAATTATTGAAAACATGAGTTATAATGTAGCACAGCAATAACATCACAACGTTCACCATATACTCTCAGACCCCTATATACACCCTGAGAAGTGCAAATGTACCCCAGGTTGGGAATGTCTGATCTACATCAATGTCTCTCGTGCAGCTTAAACTAACTGTAGGGATGTAAATTTTGCTAGTTTAGCTTTTATGTGTGCACGTGTTTATTGTATTTCATTCAGATATGAATATGAGTATGAACAACAACAAAAAATGTGAATTTTTAGTGTACGACTTTCTTAGAATAAATCAGACTTTTCTCGTTGTATCAACAGCTTTAAAAAGTGCTGTATTTTTGGTTAACGTGTACAGAACCAGTACGATGTCTAGTAAATTTCATTGTGATTTTGTTTCAGGAATTTCATGCCATCGGATCACACACTTCCATCCCATAACACTTTGGGACATTTTGCTGGTTTCCATGACAACAGTGACAAGTTAACTATGAGGACTTTAAAATCCGGTATTTCCCACCGAATTCCGTCTCCAGACAGCGCATGTGAACAAGACTGGACATCAACTGCCCCAGAAAGTATCCTTTCTGAAAGAAAATCAACAACTGATGACAGCAACAGTGATATTTCGGACAGTGGTAATCTCATGGCCATTAACTCAACTTCATATAAAGGGAAACTTTTATCCAACATGCAACATAATACTGAAAAACCAGGATTTAACTCAGGTATGGTGATATAGAACATATTCTCTACGGGTATGGTGATCTAGAACATATTCTGTACGGGTATGGTGATCTAGAACATATTATGTACGGATATGGTGATGTAGAACATATTCTGTACGGGAATGGTGATCTAGAACATATTATGTACGGATATGGTGATCTAGAACATATTATGTACGGATATGGTGATCTAGAACATATTCTGTACGCATATGGTGATCTAGAACATATTCTGTACGGGAATGGTGATGTAGAACATATTCTGTAAGAGTATGGTGATCTAGAACATATTATGTACGGATATGGTGATGTAGAACATATTATGTACGGATATGGTGATCTAGAACATATTCTGTACGCATATGGTGATCTAGAACATATTCTGTACGGGAATGGTGATGTAGAACATATTCTGTACGAGTATGGTGATCTAGAACATATTATGTACGGATATGGTGATGTAGAACATATTCTGTACGGGAATGGTGATGTAGAACATATTCTCTACGGGAATGGTGATGTAGAACGTATTATGTACGGGAATGGTGATCTAGAACGTATAAAAAGTATATTTCAATTTATTGTTATGTTTCAAAAGCACTCTTTCAGAAACTTCTTTGAAATAGGTTAATTGAAACACTTTACTTCTAAACAGTTCTGTAGCAGTTTTATTTACAAACTGTTGTAATATTTTATTGGTTTCAACGTGCCACGTAGCTTTACACTCCAGAAACTGTGACATCACTTGCAATTTTCTGGATGTAGATAACCAAAAGTCGGCATTCCTTCTCTCTAGACACGAATAAGATAAACTAAAGTCGGCACTCCTTCCCTCTAGACATAAATAAGATAAACTGAAGTCAGCACTCCTTCCCTCTAGATATGAATAAGATAAACTAAAGTCGGCACTCCTTCCCTCTAGACATGAATAAGATAAACTAAAGTCGGCACTCCTTCCCTCTAGACATAAATAAGATAAACTAAAGTCGGCACTCCTTCCCTCTAGACATAAATAAGATAAACTAAAGTCGGCACTCCTTCCCTCTAGATATGAATAAGATAAACTGAAGTCAGCACTCCTTCTTTCTAGATATGAATAAGATAAAGTTCTTATATTTTTGTTAACATGCAGGATTCCACCCTGTTCTTGTAATTAACACATTTTACTAACATGCAGGATTCCACTCTGTTCTTATAGTTAACACATTTTACTGACATGCAGGATTCCACTCTGTTCTTATAGTTAACACATTTTACTGACATGCAGGATTCCACTCTGTTCTTATAGTTAACACATTTTACTGACATGCAGGATTCCACTCTGTTCTTATAGTTAACACATTTTACTGACATGCAGGATTCCACTCTGTTCTTATAGTTAACACATTTTACTGACATGCAGGATTCCACCCACAAGACAGTGATGGCGATTCTGGGATCGTAGCAGTTGGTTGGAGGAAAGACAGAGTCGGATCTATTTGTTCCACCGAGATAGATGACGGTCAACATCAATTTCAAAAGAATCGAAGTCAGTCGAGGTAACAACTCCATGATAATTTAATTACTTTGTAATTTCTTTTCCTCTCAAACGTGAAGTTCGCTGAAGAAAAGATGATGTAGAGGACTAATCTATATTTTGATTCAGTATTCTCTCCATAACAGACTAGTTTCTCAGTATTCAGGGCTCATCAGTTCTAAAAAATAATGGATAGTTAATTGTGACGGCATGTCACGTGTGTAGGTTTTTAGTTGTTAAGGTTATTAATAATATGTAAAGGACTTTACATCTATATCAAGCAAAATAGCTCCATGAGAACACACGTAGACGTTGTAACTGTGTAATATTTCGGTCTTTCGGATTATAAGCATAATCGCTTATAAAAGTAAATAAATTAACAAAATTTTTTAGCAATTTGACACGATGAATTTGATCAATGCACTACCATCTTCAAAAAAATGAACGTTAACACAAGTCCACTGCAGGAATTCGAATTTTGGATTTTTGTATCGTAAGTCCACAAACTTACCATTGACCCAACAACAGCCACCTAAGAAAGATAAAAATTGGTCCAAATAGAATAAAGCGTTTTTTTTGTTTGAAAATTATGATTAACCCCTGAACCTACAATGTGAATCTCAGAAGCTCTAGCTGTATATAAAGTTAAATCACACACCATGATTCGTTGCTGCTATTGGCAATGTTTGGTTATTGTGACTTCTTTTTATCTACGCAGTAGAGTTGCCAAATAAAGTACATGTTTACACTTATCCAAAAGTACATGTTTACACTCATTCATAGAAGTTTCAGAGATTTTCAATGAATAACATTTCATTCAAACGTTTTAGTAGCATTTGATTCGAAAGGCTGTAACTTTTTAGACAGAACTAATTTCTGATTTTTAAGTTTGTTTGATGTTCGAAATTAATTGGGAAAAAGAAGGTTTATAATTGATGAATTACTATTTCTTGTCTAGTGTATTTTATGTTTAACAGATTCATTACGTCATTAGTGTGATGGAATGTGGATCTGTGACTCCTTTTCGCGTTCTGTTACCAGACACACACAATTTATCTTTGCTCTTTGGAGCCGTGAGTACGTTATAAGGGTGACGATCATTCATATAAGAGTAGCCTAAAAGCTGGCAGTGGATGCTGTTGATTAGATACCCTTGTATGTTCAAAAGTAGGAACGGTTAGCGTAAATAGTCGTCAAGTAGCTTTGCGCGAGGGCTGAGTGTGACCCAGCGATTAGTGTACGGACATTGAACCTGAGGTTGTAGTTCGCGACTATCAGTTCAAAATTAGAGAAATATTAACGCAGAAAACTCTCGTGTAAGCTTTACGTAAAAATCCGAAAACAAAAATTTAAAAGAAATGATGCCAGTTCGATCACAAGAACAAAACATGTTCTCTACATTGGATATTATCTTCCTTTAAACCAGAATCTGAAAAAAAGATAATTTCCAAAACACATATAGTAGAAAACACGTGGAAAAGCTATCATTGTTGCTCTGTACCAAAATAGTACAATATCTGTTACCTTGTTGGTAGTTATTTCTAGGAGACATCGAAACTTTCAATGAGGCCCCTTCCAGTGTCTAACATACACTCTACTAGAGGGCCCATTAAAAGTTATCCCAATGTACGTTTTCAGTCATCTACTCCATTATTTAAATTATAAATTGACGGTTAATCCCACTATTCGTTAGTAAAATGGTAGCCCAAGAGTTGGCGATAAGCGTTGTTTACTAGCTACCTTTTTTCTAGTCTATCACTGTTAAATTAGAGACGGCTAGCGTGTAGCTCATCTGTGTAAGCTAAAACGAAAGATAAAAATGTATCAGTTTAATTAACATTCGAACTGCGATATTAAAATTAAAGAGATTTATTGATATTTTTGTTTAAACGAAATATAAAATAATCTCAGATTATATATTTGTTGAAGTTTGCGCAAAGTTACTCGAGGGCTATTTGCGCTGGCCGTCCTTATTTTGAATTGACAGATTAAAGGAAAGGCAGCTAGTCAACACAATCCACCACCAAATCTTGGGTTCTCTTAACCAATTAAAAGTCAGATTGACTGTCACATTATAACCCCCCCCCCCCCACGGCTGAAAGGGCTAGAATGTTCAGTGATGGAATTCGAACCCACGATCCACAGATTACGAGTCGAACACCATAACCACAGATTAAATGTCAGTTTTTATTACACTAATTTTAATCAGCTGTTCTTCCAAGTTCAGATAGCTTAATTTTTATTGTTTGAATGAAACAACACATTTAACATTTTCTTTATTCTTATAGACCTACTTCTTTGTCCACCATGCATTCTATTTCTTTGAAAGACTTGTCTAACACAAGAGTCCGGTTTCATGAAGACCTTTACCTTACTGAACATAACATTCGCCGGTCGTGCCGGAAACTCTTGGAGACTTTTTATGCCCAGAAATGTGGAGCCACGAAATTTGGACATTCCAATAGCAACCGCTCCTCTTCTTCAGTTGAGACAATGAATCAGCTCCGTGATAAATCAGTGGTAGTTGGCACACACCAGCATGAATTGAACTCTGTCAAACAGGCCCTTACTCCTAAAACGGTGTGGTCCACTTTTAAGGAGTCCTCAAACAATCCCGTAGATAATAAGCAAAACAGATACTATCAACGACAGCATCTCAATATACCCCCTAGCGTTACTCGTTACAACAAAAACTTGACAAAAGACACTCGCCTGCCAAACAGAGATATTTATACAGGACTAACAAAATACGATCAACTGAAGAATTTAGGACCAAGGCTGGCAAGAACTAACACAGAAGACAATGAACAACAGAGTTCGGAACTAATACTGGCAAGAACCAACAAAATAAACGATCAAGAAAAACGTACGGGACTAACACTTGTAAGAACCAACACAAAAGATGATGTACAAAGAAGATTTCATCATAAAAATTCGACCAAGAACTTGAAAATCCTATGCACAGTTGCACAGAATAGTGATTTCGATTGTAGTAAAACTTCTACAAATTCGAACTGGAATCCATATCCTTTCAAAACTTCTTTGTTTAAAAGCAGAAGTTGTGCAACTCTTCCAAGTGAAAGTATACGCACCACTGGCTTCCCTTTTTCGGAATCCTTACCTTATCAATCTCAAGATCAGCTGGAGTTTTCTCATCCGAATCATGGACGGCTTGTGTCCACTGAAAAAAACCCGAGTTTCAATACCCTAGTTGCGAAGAAAAAGCACTCAAATTGTGACCTTCGCGGTGATGATATGATCAGAGCATACGCTCGTCTTGTGTCTGTAATACCGGAAAGACTAATAGTTCAGGAGGAAACGATAGCTACAGATGTTGAGTCCAAAGCTAAAAAAAATTTGACTACTGACTCACGATCTTCACGAATTTCAGAATATGCGGACTACGCGCAAGTGCTCTCTGAAGCTGAGAACAGTGAAGGCCAAACGAACACGTGTTTCCATTCTAAAAATAACAGTATCCCTAATTCATCTGCCCACAAATCTTCGTTCACAACAGGCACAAATGATGACACTTTAAAGAAATATCTTCCGACTAAGAAGACTTCAGGACTACTTGTAGGAGTGAGGCCTAAGAACAAAACTGGAACAGAAAATAACAATACACTAATCAGCGCCGAGTCGTCTCTTCCAAAAGACCAAGGTATGTATGTAAAGTACGTTGATTAACACATCTGTTTGATTTACTGTATTTTACAAAGCAGTTTGACAATATTGTTTGAACGTTTGGATTAAAATATAAGTGAATCTATATTTTTTTCCACACGTAGTTTTAGATCGGATTTTCCAGCACATACTTTTAAATTAGATTTTCTCCACACGTATTTTTAGGTTAATTTTTTTAACATATGTACTTTTAGGCAAATTTTCCATATGTACTATTAGATTAGATTTTCTCCACGTATACAAGATCACGAAACTGGCTTGTTAGATATCTGAGGTTGGGAATACAGGATCACGATGATTGTTAGGATAACCTGAGGTTGGGAATACAGGATCACGATGATTGTTAGGATAACCTGAGGTTGGGAATACAGGATCACGATGATTGTTAGGATAACCTGAGGTTGGGAGTACAGGATCACGATGATTGTTAGGATAACCTGAGGTTGGGAGTGCTGGATCACAAAGCCAGATTATTAGGATAATCTGAAGTTCGAAGTACAGGATCAGGAGGCTGGATTTTTAGGATAATCTAAGGTTGGAAGTACAGGATCACGAAAGTAAATAAGTTTCTTCAATGAACACTGTTAGTGCATCATGTTGTTTTACATTGAGTTAACAAAAGTTTGAACTTTTTGATGTTGCTGATGTGCATTGTTGCTTTCCTCAAATTACTTAATTAAAAACTTCAGAGATTTTGGGATCCAACTTTGGGCTAAAAACTTACTTTCTCCAGGCACACCATTTTACTAGTACAAAAATCGTGAGAAAGAGTTTATACCATATTTTTTGCAAGAAGGTTTACTGGTTTATTGCAACAATATTACTGAATTAATACCAATACTAGGAGCTGCAGTCTATGAACGAAGTGAGTGGCGATTTTTTATTGATTCCTCCAAAATAAGTCTAAAAGGTGTTCTCCGTCACAATGGTAACATATATGTATTTGTTCCTATTGGGCCCGGCATGGCCAGGTGGTTAGGGAGCTCAACTCGCAATCTGCGGGTCTTGGGTTCGAATCCACGTCACACCAAACATGCTTGCCCCTTTTAGCCGTGGGGGCGTTATAATGTGACGGTCAATCCCACTATTCGTTGGTAAAAGAGTAGCCCAAGAATTGGCGGTGGGTGGTGATGACTAGCTGCTTTCCCTCTAGTCTTATACTGCTAAATTAGGGAGGGCTAGCGCAGCATGGCCCTCGTGTAGCTTTGCGCGAAATTCAAAAACAAACTGTTCCTATTGCTCATTCGGTTCATTTGAAGGAAACGTACGAAAATCTCGAACTTCTTATCCAAATCTTCAATCTCCAACAAGACCTTTTGCTCATGGACCTGGTGAAATAACGCCGCAGACGTGCCACAAACTGAAATACAGTTTCTCCAGTGTCGGGTAGAAACGTCGTTTGACTTTTCTGAACTTCCGACGAAAACCTTCTTCAGTAAGTTCATATTGTTTCAGTAAAGCTACTTTTAATTTATCATAATCCATGACATCTTCTGACGTCATGCCTGCATATACGAGTAGGCATTTTCTTGTGAGAAGTGAGCTGAGACAGACTGTCTAGTTGCCTTTGTCCCAGTTCTGACTTTGGACGAATATTCCATATCTCTCCAGGAAAGCATCCATGTCATCTTGATGTTCATCAAATTTGGGTAGCTTGGATCGGCTGGCCCTAACTCCCTTGTCATTCTTGATCCTTCGGTTGGGCGAGTTTTGTAATCTCAATTTGTGCTCTTATTCTCTCTATGTATAGTCTCTCCTATCTCTCTTCATTTTCAATTTGTATTCTTATTCTTTCTCTCTCCATTTCCCATCTTTCCTTTCTCTCATTTTCTTCTCTTTCCTTCAATATTTCTTTTTCTTCTTTCAATCTTTCTCTTTTCTGTTGCCGTTCTTCTCTCTCGAAATACTTCAACAAATTGGCATGGTAGAACCTGGTCTTTCCATTCACATTCACCTTTTAGTCCATTCTCTTGAGTACTTCCTGTACTTCAAAAGGTCCTTTCCATCTTGCAGTGTATGTCAAACAATCATCCACATAGTGCTCGATGTTGGTGTTGCACAGCATCCCTCTCATGATGCGGTTGAATGTTGCTGGTGAGTTCACTAATCCAAATGGCATTCGCTTAAATTGGTAACATCCATCTGGTGTCACAAATGCTGTCTTCTCTTTAGATTCCGTCTCTATTGGGATTTGCCAATAACCTTTACTAAGGTCGATTTCTGAAGAGAACCTGGCTCCATCTAGCTTTGCCATGATAGCCTCTGGATTGCCCATAGGTTCAGAGTGGAACTTTGTCACGAGATTCAGCTTCACGAAGTCTATGCAGAAGCGGTTGGATCTGTCCTTGTTCTTCACGATTACAAGTGGCGAACAGTAGGCTGAATTTGACGGCTCGATGATTCCAGCTTCCAACATTGCCTCCACTTCCTGCTATATCAGGTCTCTCATCGCATAAGGCATCTGTTACGGCTTCACTCTACCTGGATCCTTGATTGTGGTCTCGATATTGTGTTGTACAAGGTCTGTCTTTCCAGGTTTATCCGTGAAGATATCTGCATATTGGCACAGTAGGTCTTGCAATACTTTTTTTTTGCCTGTCAGTTCTACCTTGGCGTGCACGTTTTCTTTACTGTCGTTTACCACTGTATGATCCTGTCGCGGACGCCAATTTGTTAGGTTTTGTTTTTGTGAATTCTTATATAGTGGGTGTCTGTGACTTGTTGACGGTAAAGGTAACGATGAATGAACCGCACAAACTACACTTGTTTCAAATCACTATATATATATATTCTGAACAAAATACATATAAGTGCATCACCACAGTCATAAACCTTATATTGTACCTTGTACATAAATCTCTCGTCTCATCTTCGGTTCGCTACCACCCCTTCACTTTCAGATCCCACGTTCCGCTCTATACTTTCGACAACAACGAGTCACAAACGCAAAACACAACATCAAAATTAGAAAAACAAACAAAATAATATAACAATAAATCAATGAGATTCTTTTATATCGTGACAGACACAAAGAAAGTCTTATTACCTCCAATTCACATAAAACTGGGCTTGATGAAGCAGTTTATAAAGGCCTTAGACAAAGATGGCGACTGTTTCAAGTATCTGTGTGGAAAATTTCCAGCTCTTTTAGAAGCGAAATTTAAAGAAGGGATTTTTGTTGGGCCTCAGATTAGGAAATTGACTTCGGATGAACAGTTCGAAAGGACAATGGGGAAAATTGAAAAAGAAGCGTGGATTGCCTTTGAAGATGTTATTGATAAATTTTTAGGCAATAAGAAGGACCCAAATTAAGAAAATATTGTCAATAATATGCTCGATAAATTCAAAGAGTCGGGTTATAATATGAGCTTGAAAGTTCATTTCTTACACTCACATATTGACAATTACCTTGAAAATCTCGGTGCCGTCAGCGAAGAACAAGGGAAAGGTGTCATCAAGACATCAGGGAAACGGAGAAGAGGTATCAGGGAAGGTGGAACATCAGCATGACGCTGATTACTGCTGGTCATTTAAACGAGATGCTCCAGACGCAATACATAAAAGAAAGACCACAACACGTAGTTTTGAGACTAAAAAAACGTAGATTTCACAAAAAAATCAGGATGAATGAGGATGCATATTCGTTTGACACCAATGTTCTTCCCTTTTATTCAGTTTACCCCCCAGTGACACAGCGGTATGTCTGCGGACTTGCAACGCTAGAAACCGGGTTTCAATACCCGTGGTGGGCAGAACACAGATAGTCCATTGTGTAACTTTGTGCTTAATTCCAAACAAACAAACCTTCAGTTTCTTTGTGTTTTTGTTAACAAACATAATAATAAATAATGTTCATTGTGGTAAACGAAATAATAATATGATCTAAGTAAGAGTTTTTTCTTCTCGATTTGTTACAAATCCTTACATGATAGAAAAAAAATAATATTATTCTCGAAATCTGCGTAGCTAAATTATGGAAAATCTATTATTAAAACCAAAACAACTTTTATGAAGTTTAAATTCTAAATTCTCGATAAACTAAATCGAGTAATTTCAATTGTTTTTTTTTCAGCTTTATCCGCAATTAAAACAGAAGAAGTTCCTGATTATGCAGTTATCGATAAGAGTAAAAAAGCCCATCGTCCATCGCTTCCCAGAGTTGTCAGTAACCCTTGTATAATAAACGCTTCAAGTGGCGCCATCTGTGAACAACAACAGCCGCCAGTTCCTCCCAAAAAGTTCTTGCACTCCAGGTAAATTAGAAATAGTTTTATTGAAATAATGAAATATATCAAAACAAAATTAAACAGTCTTTTCTTAATTTATCATAATAAAGCATCTGACTGAAACATCTGCTTAATAGTGATTTAACTTAAATACTGAATCTGACTAAATACCCGCTTAAATGTAAACAAAAATTATATATACAAAAAAGCCGTGCTCTGTTAATGTACTATCTACAACATAATATATTTTTAATAGTTTTGGCCGATTTCGTAACGTATTTAATGCTGTATCAAGCTTAGCATTATCAATGGATATATATTTCTTTTTTGCAGCGACTTTGTTCTCTATAAAAGTTCTGCAACGTCAGGAAAGTCTATTTTAGAGCGCATGCAAGGCTTCACAAAGTCTGCCAGGGGCGTTTTACAGAGGGCTTTCAGCACAGAGCGTGTTTATAAACCTGAAAAAGAAGACACAGTCCATAAACTTCGGAGATCACAGTCTTTCTTTAAAGGCCTGAAAAATCGCATGAGCATGAGAAATAATAAACGTAAAACAAACAACCAAAACAAAAAACAACATTCAATCAGGTAGGTAATATCTATATCAATTTCCTGAACCGTTTAAGAAAAAAGTGAGTTCAGGACACTTAATTTCAGTTTTATCCTTTTCTTTTGTACTTATTTTTAACTATGTATGGTGGTGTGCTGCAATTTTTAGTATATTATACAAATAGTGATACAAGTTTTTACTAAAATTATTTTACTCGGATTTCTTTCCACTAGATGGCAGTTACGTAGCCGCACGGAAAATAGTAGTTGTTACGAAATGTTTAAATTTACGTTTGTTGCATCTGTTATTGTAAATTGAGTTGATGTTTTTCTTTTTTTATGGTTGCTTATAAGTAGCTGACCAACCAAACTTAGTTCGAGTCTGCTATAAATGTTCTTAATATTTATACAAACCTATAAATAAGTCGAATGTGCTTTACCTGTTGTACATATTTATTAGCATATTTCTATTAGGTTCAAAAATAATACAGCTCGTGATCTACAAAGCGTTACCGATAATTATGCAATCAACAGGGCTCCAGCTTAGTTCTAAACCTACTTAGCAAGCGATCGATTCAGCAAGCGTCTCAACACACGATGGAGTAAAAACTGGTTTCAACACGTAAGTGAAAATTATGTTTAAATATGCGAACGTGCCAAAAAGCAAGTTTCAGTACTCAAATTCGATGACGAGGAACCCACTTTGAGACTAATAATGGTTGGAGACGGCTTGAATAGGTAATGAAGAAAAACTTTAATATAAGTTATATATTTAATATAATACAAGTCGAAACGTTGTACATTTGCTGTTATGTTAAACTTATATTAAAGTTTTTCTTCATTACTCATTCAAGCTGTCTCCAACCATTATAAGTTTCAGAACATGATTTAGTAAAAAAAACAACAACAAAAAAACAGTTTTTAGCACGTGGTCAATTCAAAAACAGGTTGCAGTACGCAGTCAGGCCAAGAAGCCGGTTTAGCACGTGTTAGAATAAACAAACCATGTAATCAAATTGACAGAAAAATAAAACTATTACATATCATTAGGGGTAAACTACTGTAGTAAGATAAGATATTTCACGTCTACCTATACATATATACCTACTAGAGTCACATTAGTTTTTAAAAAAGTGAACACTAGGTGGCTACGAGCACGTGTCGAGTTTTTACATCTGTAATTTTAATAATATTAACTGCATACAGCACTAAATCAAGTGTAAAAACGTATACCAAGTTATAGAGTTTTCTTAAATATATTATTCAGTATATTTTTAGGTGTAACAGTAAACATAATGTAAATAAAATTACTGTATGAGAAATTTTCATTTGAAATGCGGCCACAATAGTTTCGAAGTTTAGCATACAGTAGAAAGTTTTGAACTTTAGATTCCAGAATAACGTTTTGAAGTTTATCCTCCAGTACAGAGTTTCGAAGTTTACCTCACAGAACAGAGTTTCAAAATTTAGCTTCTAGCATAGCAGATACATTTCGAAACTTAGGTTTCAAAGCTTATCTTTTAGGATAACGTTTCAAATTTCAGCTTCTAGGGTAGCATTTTGAACAACAGCAATGCCCAGAATGTACACTTTAATTATGGTGTCAGAAATTGGGAATTTGGGTTTGATCGAGGAGTAATCTTGTTATATTTTGCAGTCTTCATGATCGAATTTAAGTCAGCTTGTGAGAAAAATAAATACTTGCCATCTGTTATTTAATAATGATTCTTTTTCTATAATATAGCACTCTTGAGGCTTTGGACCGCAACAGGGAATTTCCCCCTGACCATGTGTGGGGTCAGCTGATTCAACTCCACCTGGACGGATCGCAAGAAGTGGAAATCAATAAGCCTAACGGAAAACCTTTCGGGTTCTTTGTAGCTCGAGGGAGCATCAAGAATTATAGAGGTATGACAGATTTTTAACAAAATAAAAGTTGTGCTGGTATGCAGAGTTTCACAGGTTAAAACAACATAAAGAGATTTGGTTTAAGTCAAATTCTAATATTTTAGACTTATAAGATTAAATGGAAAGTTACTGTTGGAGGAACAAAAAGAAGTAAGTTTTAACTGGAGAACCAAATTCCTCAGAAAGAAGATCTTATCGGACTTGTTTGAGGACGAAGTTTACAACCGTAGAACACCGGCAACAGCAAATGGAAACATTGTTCTCAGACAAACTTCAAACTAGTTTTTAAGTGAACAGTAAGTTGTTCCACATTAATAAATGCATCTTAATCTCTATTTAGTATTTAAAAAATCATTTGTATGAAATCGCTGAAATAGTAACAATTATGTTTTGGTTATTTCAGGAGTCTTTGTCTCTCGGATGAGAGATTATGAGACCCAGAAACTTCTCTCTGGTTTGATCGATATTGGAGATGAGATTTTGGAGATAGGTGGAATTAATGTGAGAGAAAAAGACATTATAGAAGTGAACAGTTTGATGGCTAAGAAGAATAACTTAACATTGACCGTCTTGCCATATAAAAATCGCCAGGATGTGTAAATCGAATAACTTGAAGTAAACAAGTTTTTTTTAATTTGATACGTTTCGCCATCATTTGACAGCTCACGTCATTTTTATAAATCTTGATAAACATGTCTTCGTCCAAGTGATGTAGCAAAATATTAATGTGCATGTCAGATAAAATAATTTATTTAAAATCCAAGATTATTTAACCTATATGTCATCATTTTTTAATACATTGAAAATAATTATGACCAAAGTTTATCATTCTAATTGAATACAGAAACTTAAAAAAATCTATTGCTTTTGAAATAAAAACTGATCTGTGTTTAAATATATATTACCTTTATTGTAGTTATGGGCTTTCTGTGGAATGCTGTGTGGTATTCAGTTGAACAAATCAGTAAGTTTTTGCCCAAATTAGAAAATGAGATACATTGTTCGTCAAAAACAAGAAATATAACCAAACTGGGAACATGTATACATTCTCGGGACTTAAAAGCCGAGAAGTTTACAATAAAATCTGGAAACAAAAAAGTATTTAAAGCAATCGCCCCTGTTAATCATTCGTCCTATATATATATATATATATATATA